TGTGGCTTGTTTGATGTTGGTGAGTGTTGCATTTGCAGAGACGCATGTTTTAGTGAAGCTTTCCAAAGTGGTGGTATACTCCAGCAAACACTTGGAGAACTGTAGCTTGTATGTAGCCATTCTTGAGAATAAGAATGGAGAACAGTCTGAAATAATAATTAAATGTCCCTTATTTCCTTCGTGCTCAAAATATCAGTCTTCATTTGCAGCATAGAAGTTGCTGCGTATATCATCTGTTATATCGTTTCCTTTCTGAGAGAAAAACCATGCAGTGTTTTAAGGAGACAGGTTGAGTCTTGAAGTACTTTGAACCTTGACTCAAGTCAGTCTGTAAGTGACAGAGTTGCTTTATGGCTGCTGATTTCCACAGAGTGGAATTTGAAAAAGAATCTATCAACTGTATGACACGGAGACTGTTCTAAAGGCTCTGCAACCCTCAGGGTTATTGGTAGGCTTGGTTCTCAATTATGCTGCGTTCTTCATTTCAGTCTTTCATATTTCTGGAACTTTAACTTAAAGATACTTAAGTAAATTAAAACAAGATAAAGCCTGTGATGAAGATGGACAAAATACATACTGTATTGTTTTCTTAAAGTGAGTGCAAACCCGTGCTCGTGTTATGTATGAAAGAAATAGAGTGCAGTGTTCCTTTTTCCATGTTTACATACAGTTGATTCTACAAAGTTATTTGAAAGAACGCCGTGCCGTAAGCATGGAGAATGCTCTATTAGCATCACCTTGGAGAAACTGAATGGTTGTGACTGTGAAATTAAATGAGGGAACAGGAGTGTCTCAACTTCAAGTTCTATTTCTCTTTCATCCTGAAAATGATATATGCATTTTTTATCATGTACATTTTGTGCTTTATTGTGTTTTTAAATAACTCTTAGCATATTCCACCAGGGGGCTGGGATTTGAGAGATCTTTTTTGTCAAACAAGTTAGTAGTATGTATTCTATTGTGTATCAGTTCCACTTTGTGCCAAATTGGAATTGTTTTTGATATTGAGAAGTGCAGTCATAAATGTTAGCTTTTCCTATAAATAAGATTTATGCTGACTTGTACCAACTGATAGAATTACAAATTCTGTTTTGACATAAATTGCAGATTGATTTGGTGGTTACCGGTGTGTGACTTGTGATACTTAATTAAATTGACACCTGCTTTCCACTGAAAGGCTCATTGAGACATTCTTTTGTAGATACTTCAAGTATCTTACCTTATTTGAAAGCATTGATTTGCAATGGGAAATAAAAATAGAGCGAATTGTTGACTTTGCTTGCTAAGAGCTAAATAGCAGCATCAGATGGCCTGAGCTGTAGGTTGGCAGAAATTACATAACATCAGGCTGAGATTGTAACCTGGAGTTCTGCTCTCACACAGTGGCAGTGTGCATGTTGGCAAACCCTGTTATCATTTCAGGAGCAGGACAGAGGAGGTGCTGCCCAAACTCCTTAAGTGGTTTGTTTGTTGTTTTTTTTTTTTTAATTTGTATTAATTTCATATAGTTTTCAGCTCTTGTAATGATGAAGAGTTAAGTCAGCTGTAACTCAGTGATTGATTTTTCTGCTCTGTACAAAATTAAAAACATTCAGTCTCCAGGGAGATGTTGCAGTGTCTTCCTAGTTTTGAGTTGCCAGTGTTGATGTCATGAGTGAGCTTGAGCCATCCTTGGATGCTACCTACAGTAGTACTGCAAAGCAGCCACAGGATTGGTTTCATGTTTTCAAACAAACTTACTTGCTTCAAGCTGTTAAACTAATGTAAAATGCAATCATGGCATCACTTTGTAAGTAATTATAAAGATCTTTTTGCAGCTTAAGACGGAGATTTTAGTATTTTCTACATTACAGGCAAATCCTGTGTCTTTGCATAACCCCTCTGTCACATTACAGAATTGCATAGGGATAGGATCTCTCATTCAGAGGCTTGCCAGCCGCTTGCTGCTGGGAAGCAGGTAAACTGGCTGTTGGTGCTTACAGAAGAACTATCTGCACTTAAGCAGTCTCTGGATGGCAGCTGCATCTCCAGCCTTTATTCCCGCTCACTGGTCTTCAGTGGCTGCCTGGCTTTGGAGGGCTGGGTAGTGGTGTTGTGCCCCAAGAACAACTGGCAGCCCTCTTAGCTCAGGGAAACTGCTGAGACCCAGCAGCTGCCTGTGGGACCTGCAGTTCCCACAGCACTTCCCTCAGGCTGCTGTGAAGATATCAGTGCTCACAAAAAGGCAGAGGCCCTGCCCAACTCTGGAAGGGCTTCACTGCAGTGCACCTGGTTACTGGTTGTGGGCAGGGTTCCTTCAGGCTTGCCCTGTCCCAGCTGCAGCTGCATCCTGATAACACTGCTCTGCTCCCTGCGTTTTGTCAGCCCTGTCTTTTTAGTTACCATGTAACTAATAAAAATATCAATATTTTATCCCTCTAATTATAAAAAGCTTTCTTCGCTTCTTTCTAATAACCATGCAGTTGTAAGGTTCCATATTAGTATCGGTGTGTTTTGTCAGGCCTCTGGGCATAATCTTGATTAGTTTTTGGGCCGCTTTCTCAAACAATTATCAGTGTAGAAAATAATCTCTTAGGCACTTTTAATTTGGAAGAAAGCATGAAAATATCTTCCAGCTTTTTGATGTATGGACTTCATTTTCTGGCACACCAGCATCCTTGTAGCAGCTTTAAAAATATTCCAAGACCCAGTGCTCTGACCTTATTCCACTGCCTCTGAAGCCTTTATGGTGGCTATGTGTGTATGTAGACAACAGTGTGTAAATGTCTACAGAAATGAGACCCAAAGCTTTATGGGTCAGAGACAGAATTGTTGTTTCCTACCTGTAGTTCCTGTACTGCAGCTCTGAATAGCATGTTATGTCTGTACCATACGGTGTATGCTTTGTTGATTTGCTTTTGGTCACAAGTTTTATATTTTTATGGTAGCGTGTTGAGTATGTTTAAAAAAAAAAAAAAAATTAGTCTTCTAATACATCTTTTCATTCGAATTAGCAAAAAAAAAAAAAAAAGTCATCTCTTATCCCAGTATTGTTAAGAGTTCTAAAGAATCCTTAGGGACTTGTGAGGAAGTGTGTTTTTACCTTTTCAAAAGCTGTGGTTGGCTGATAAGCTGAGCTGCTAGGGGATAGCTTCACCCAAACATTTCATTATCATTTTTGCAATGGTGAAAGCCAGCTACCCTTTTCTCCACACTTTATTCAGGCAGAGCAAAGGACAAGATAATCCCCTTAGCCTGTTAAATGCTCCATTCCATCTGGTAGGTGATAATTGCATTGTAAGGGGATTAGCACAGTGGGATATGCTTATAGTGTAATAAAAGCTTCACTACAAGTGTGAAAGTCAGCTGGATGCGTTCAAGCACTTTGGGACTCTATGTTTGTGTTTTATGGTCTTGCACAAAAAAGAGCAAGTTTCATCTGGAGAAGACGCGCAGTACCTTTAGGTGCCTTTATATACCTGTCATTGATTTTTAATTTTTTTGTAGACATGGGCGGTCTGTGTAACTGAATTTTTTTTTTCTGAGAAAAGCATAAGTTTTTGTTTAGCTGAACATTTGGGGCTGTTTCTGTGATTATAGCCATAGTGTGCGTGCATCCTAAGCGCTCCGCTTCTGCTCAGAAGTGCCATGACTTTGAAATTGTGGAGATGGGTTGTTCGTAGTATGGGAGCACCTGTGTTACCGAACACTGCATGGAAATCTTCGTTGGTAAAGGTGAAATGTGAATAAAGCACACTATGAGGAATACCAGAGTAAATTTGTATCAGAGTGGATAATAAGGTTTTGAGCTGAAAGTAATTCCTCTTGCAGCCAACCAGGAAAAGTGTTTTGAAATTCGGTCAGTGTCAGTTCTGAGCCCAAGTAGCATAAAAGGGCACTTTTCTTTTAAAGTCTGATGCTTAGCTAATGCTGTCAGTAGTGCTGACAGTAAGTCTTCAGGCTCAGAGCATTTCATAAGCTGCAATTTCCCTTCCTTATCTTCAGGATGTTACAGATCCATGTGGAGGTGTGCTGCAGTTCAGCTTTGATTGCCCCCTATTCATTGCCCCCTCTCCAGTCTTCTGTTTCATACAGGGAATTGGGCTGGCTGCACAGTGCTGGCCAGAGTGTGGTTCGAACATTAACCTGTTGGGTAGCCTGCTCTGTGTGGGCTCAGTGTTTTGTAGCCAGACAGATTAGAAATTTGACAGCAGTGCGTGTTTTTACATAAATAAAATAAGTCAGGTGCATAAGTATGCACTGTATGTGGTAGATCCTGTAGTGACATTGTATGACCTTACTGTGGGAGGAAATTTGCTCATGAATTAAGGTTCTGTGAACAGCTGCATGGTTGCTCTTTCTTCAGTTTCAAGTTCCTGACTTAGCAGCTGTGTGTGTGCAAGTGCCTCGGGGATTTAAGGGCAAAATAAAACCTTGTGTTTTCCTATGGGTGCCTACAATAACTTTGCCAGTCTTGATGTCACAGTTGAGTGTGGTTAAGCTCAACCTGCTCTTACTCCATCATGGGTCTCGGTGTGCAGGGTCAAGTAAAAGTTGTTGGGTTTTTTGTTGTTGTTGTTGGTTTTTTTTCCCCAAACTTGTGATGTTGAGGCATGGTTTCCTTGTCTCCGTATATATATTTAATTTAGTTGCACTCTAAGAGACATTTCTGTATTTTCTTTTAATTTAGTGTTTCTCCTGAGATGGGGAAAACTGAGAAATAACTTCTTGTCTGATGTTCTGTAACTCTAAAACCTGAGTGAAAGGCACTGGGATATATGCTCCTCTGCAAACCAAACTGTCTAATCACTTCCCATCCTAGTCCCTTCTGAAATAAGTAATTTTGTCACTGAAACTCCTGGATGGATGGTAATTACACTGGCAATATCTATGTAAGATTTACAGAGGAATTTTTAGCTTTCTAGAACAACTTTTTAACAGTCCCATACATGATGTATTTTAAAAGTATAATATTGAAATGTGTAGCAAGCTCAATCTTACATATCATTTCTTTTCTTTAGGTGACAAACAGCATGTTTGGTGCTTCAAGGAAGAAGTTTGTAGAGGGGGTTGATGGTGACTACCATGATGAAAACATGTACTACAGCCAATCATCGATGTTCCCACATCGGTCAGAAAAAGATGTAAGTTGGATAACCTTGTTTTCCCCTTTTAATAGTGAGGTAGTTTCAAGCACATTAAATGTGTGTAAGGGAAGGCTTCATCAAGCTTTAAGCTGTGTATAAATATTTTTAGTGGCAATTGTTTTAGTTTTATTATTTATGCTTAGAAAACTTCAATCATAGCCTTGACAAGGCTTTATTTTTTCATCTTTGAAAACTGTATTTGTAACTGAAACTAGATCATTGATTATATCTAGTAGTTACGTGTTGTCTAAATTGTTTTTGTTGTGTTTTTACATTTTTCATCTTCATTGGTCATTTTTGACAGTGCCTTGCAGAGCTCAAGTAGTCTTAGGCATCACTCCCTTTTGTAATGAAAGAAAGTTACAAAATCAACCATTTTTAAACATCTTTTCCTTTTGTAATGCATATAACTGTTTAATACCAGAGTGAGCATGGTGTTGTGGACTTTGGCCTATGTAAACATAGACATTTTCTATAGGCTGTTAGTTAAATTCAATCAAAATTTTCAAGGATAAAAGGTTTAGTGTCACGGCTTCTTAAGCAAAACCAAAAATGCTTAAACAATATGTTCCACTTCTGTTTAATTAAAGTTGCTTTGATGAGCTTGATGAGAAAGTTCAGGTGAGCTAGCAAATGATTGGAACATTTTACAATGGAAAAAAAAAGGCTATTCTTTTCAATGTTTGTCCATTACATACATGTACATACACTGATGCACACAGGCACAGTGCAATATGTGTAAAATTGAACGTGCTTTCTCTCCTGTAAGTACCTGGAGGTGCAGGGAGCATTCTCAGACACCAGTGCTAACCAGACACTAACTGGTTCTCAGTAAATTCCCTCTACTAGATTCGATACATTTAGGGAGAAGCCATGTCAGATGTGGTCAGAAAGGTAAAATTTGACGCTATGCTGCACAGTCTAGAGTGAAAGCTGATGCTTGGCACATTGCTGACATAGAGTATGAGTGTTTTAGTTGCCTACTCTTTCTGTAGGCAGTGTTGCAGAAGTGGATCTTAGGATGGGACTTCAAGAGAAGGAAGGTGGGTGTTCCAGTCACCAGGAATGACAAATGAGAAATCCTGAAAGCTTATGGGAGAAGTGGACAAAATGGGGAATAGAAGCGGCTGTAGTTGGCAGAGAAGAATGATGTCATACCAACAGGAGATGGAAGAGTCATTTTTGCAAAAGCTTCTTAAAGTTTTGTTTCCAAATGATTGTTAAGGGATTTTTTTCTATGTAGCTTCACTCTTGACCATTACAACTTCCTGAGTTTATGCTTATAACATCTTAAGCTATTACATGCTTTTGTAACAACTTTTTTAAAAGGTGATCAAAATAAATATGTAGTGGTGATATTGACATTGTCTTGTGCACCTTTGAGCACTTACGTATAGCTAAGTGTATTTATTATGTGTTGTGTTGTTTTGTTGTTTCATTTGGCTCACAACAAATGAGAGTGTCTGCAAAGATGGTTGTCTTTTGGTTTTCTTGTTGCTGTCCCATCAATTTTGCAGCTTTGGAAAAACCTTTTCCAGTGAAAAATGACGGTGTATTTAAATACTTTTTGAACTGAAATTGTATGAAAGATGGTGTTCTCTTTATGAGGACACAATTTCTTGACTGCATTTGTGTTTGGGTAACACGTAGTACTGACAGACAAAAAGAAGTTTGCTCAGAATTTCCAGTGAGTAAGCTAATGAGGAGTCATGTTACAAAATTTGGATGCAGTGTTGTGAACACCTGTGGGGAAAAACTTCCAGCATTCTTGATCCTGGAACATTTTTCAGTCTCTCTTACTTGACACTTAGATGGAAATGCAGTATGCAAATGTGGAGAAAAACTAAGGTAGAGGACCTCTTGGGGAAAATGAGGCTACAATCACTTACATAATCAGACAGTTGGCAATAAGAAGTCTAAAAGCTAGCATACATCATCTCTTTGTAACTGCAGTCCTTATTGAAAAGAAAAAATGTTACAATTTTAAGTATCTTTTTATATAGTAGAATTATCTATATGTAATTTTATGCAATTTAAATCATTCTGTGTTTTTTCAGTTTCTTATGTCTTTACTCAGAGTAGGTAAAGCTTAGTTTAACGTGTGGCGGGTTTTAGCTACAAGTCTTTAAAAAAGAAATTGTTCTTTTTTTTTCCTCCAACATACCATCTATATATATGAACCCCTGATTGGTCATATGCCTCACTTATCCTGTAAAGTCCTTCAAGTTACTGCAAGCATAATATTTTGCATAAAGTTTTCATAAGCCAGAAACCCTCCTGTGAAGAGGCATCATTTTCAGGTCAGATACAATGATGTCACATGCACAGTTTTACTGGGTTGAGAGTTTTTTCAGGAGTTCTTTGTAGCTTGTTTTAACACCTAAGTTAGAGATTTTAATTTTTTTTATCATATTGTGTTAAGAAATAGTTCTTCATTTACTAGGGTTGAAAAAGCTTCTGAAACTATCTGAAAGAGATGGGGGGAGAGAGGGAGAAAAACACTGTATGCCTTTTCATAAACAGTTTTTACTTACTGACTTGGTATTCTTGTGACTTGTTTCTTTGGCTAATTAGAATTTTAAATTCTTTTTTTTTTTTTTTAATTTTAACCTGAAGATAAAGTGAACTGAGTAAAGGCTCTTGAAGTCATATCTTAAGACTTGAAGACTTTTGACAAGTGAGAACAAGTAGCAGCAAAGAATTTAGGAGATATTTTTATTTCAGAGCCTCATTTTAGCTGAAAGCAAAAAGCTTTCTCATAACTTGCCTTTTTTCACTGGGGGATATAGTTCCAGACACTCAGGATTTGCATGCTATTTGAAATGAAAAATTTGCATGTTATCCACACAGCTACTTCTAAAACATCTGAGTGTTGCATGGGTCTGCTTTTGGGGGGGGGGCACAAAACAGTCATTCCTTTTGATTTTATTCCAGCAATCTAGTGCTTATTCTTTAAATGGGTGGCTTTGCTGTGAGTCATCACAACCTTGCTGTGATAAGTAGGGAAGTGGAACACAGAATATCCATGAATGCTCTTTCTATGAATTCTGCTGCATTTAGTTTGTGATAACCTGGTCAAAAATGCTTTACCGAATAATTTGTATTAGACTGGTTGAAATTATAACAGTTTTTAAAAATAGTTTTGGTTTTGGCTTAAGGCAAATGTGTTTCTGTAACTTGAATTGGCAGTAAGGTGCATGCTTGATTACAAAATAATTACAGATCTTATTTGTGGCTAATGTTACAAACCTGGTTGGTCTGCCTCTCCACTCAAAGAGATCACTTAAGGATAAGGGTCCATCTATTTGTGCTTGGGTGGAGTGACTGGCAGAAATTGGCATCTCAAGGGCTTCGTATACTTTTGAACCTAATTTCTTCAAATGAAGGGAAATAATGGCAATAAACTTCAGATCATTTCAGTTTGAACTTTCTGTAAGGAAAAAAAAGCAAACAAAAAACCAAAACAAGTGACATCCTCTTACCTGCTAAAACTTGTGGTAGTCTTTTCTTCAACTAGTTTGTCCTATCATATCTGAAGCCATTTTATCACCCACTCCTTCCTGTGGTAAGGAGTTCTGAAATAGATGTATGCTTCTTTTTTAAAGTGTTGACTTTTGCTGTCAGCTGCAGACACAAATTTGGTTGTACACAGCTGTGCCTTTTAATGAAGATCTGCCCAAGTTATGACAAAAGTTTTTTTTGCTGTGAATGCTGTTTGCATTTCCTAGCCCAGTACTTGGGGGTTTTTTTTGCTAACTTGCTCAACAGATGATAGAGAGTTCAAGTGATTTGCATTTCCAGTGGGTTGGTTTGCTGGGCTTACACTCTTTTCTTAAAAACAAACAAAAACCCTTCATGTCTTAACTGATTCTGGACTTTCTCATTTGAGACATGAAGCTCTTACGCATTTCAGTTCTTTCAAAATATGACTTCTTGTGAAATCAAATAAATTTTAATAATGTGAACAAGTAATATCAAACCTGCAGGTTTGGCTCATTGCAACTCTTTATCTGGCTACATGACAATACCTTTCCTAAACAAAGAAGCTTTCAGATTTAGATACTGAGTACAGTGACATGGGTTATTTATTCTGAGAGGCCACTTTCCAGAGGACCATTCCCTTTATACATGGCAGAAGTGTGTCCACAGTGGATTAAATTCAGGTGTTCTTCTCTCATGAGTTAGTTGCAGACTCAGTTGCCTGAGGGGAGAGGTTGGCATCTTTGTCTTCTAATAACCAGGATGATATATTACAAAGGAGTGGTCAAAAGCATTTTATCAAAGCCTTTTCCTACAAACTTCCATTAAAGTAATTTTAAAAATAGTAATAATATATATATATTTTATATATAGTAATATATATATATATATATTGCCTTATAAATAGGTGGGACTTTTACAATAGATAAAAACTTGTGAAGCAAGATTGAGATTACCATGGAGACTGAGATCTAGAATCTTGCTTGCTTTGGGAAACTAAATGTGGAAAGGAATCATTCTTCTGGAGACAGCTTTGCTTTATGATTGCTATTGCATTGTTCCAGCTTGGCTAAGAACTTTCTTACACTACTTTTTAGGGTTCCAAGGGAAACTATGATGTCTTGTTTCCCAAGGCATCTTGCTTGGCATTTGCCTGAGTCATTGAATGAGAATCTGTTGAGTTAGTTGGTCATAATTTAACTTCGGATGCTGCACTTAAAGTTGTTGTAAATATTTAAGAATTCCCATTTGTATCCTTTTGTATCAGAAAGAGCAGCAGGAGCACTGGAGCTAATGCTGGCTGGTCTAATAGAGCTAACATCTGAAGATAACTTTCATAATATGAATAGCTTTGATTTGTGAGGGGGAAAAAATGAAAGCTTATTTAGGAGAAAATAATTAAATATCTTTTATTTTAACTGGAAAATGAGTATTATTCTAAACATTAACAGAATACATGTAATCATACTTGAGGATTTGATTGAACGGTTAGTTTGTTTGCTGTGTTTGCTTTGTGAAATATATTCCTTCAAGTATAAGATGCAAAGGAATGGAGTTGTATTTTACCTTCCCAGAGAGTGACTGAACACACTTGGCATCTTTTAGTGAGTGTGTGATATATTTTAACTAAAATAAAAACACCCTCACATTTTCAACAGATAAAAGTTGCAATGCTGTAAATTGAAAGTAGTTGGAATGAGATTGGATGAGACATGAGGGGAAAAAAAATCTTTTTTTAAAGTTCTAATGCAGTGTACTTTTTCAGAGTTCATTGTTGCTCTGCATATAGCTTGCATTTTTGTAATAGATTTACATCAAAGAATAAAGAACGGGAAGTTCAGAATGCAAAATGCACTCTTCATCTGTTTCACTATAAGTTAGTATCTAGATGGGGTTATCAAATGAAACAACACACAAGAAGAAAAAATGAGTTAGAAAAACAGGCTTTCATATTCTGTCAGACAGTTTGCAAGAAGAATGTATCTGAATTAGTTTAATTAGTTATTTCACATCACTTATCACCAAAATTAAATTTGCTGTTGATGATTTAGTATTTAATTGCAAACACTGCTCGGTTTGTGTTTAATTTTTTACAGGAAGAAAGGATCACTGTGTTTCAGTCCTTGGTCTAAAAGCTGTATTTAATTGCATCTTCACGTAAATCAGCAATACAAGACAGGTCTTGCATGTCAGCATTAACAATTGAAGTGGTTCCGTGAGCCAGATTAATGCCATGATAAAATCCTCTACCTCTCATAGAAGGGAAAAGTTGTTATCTCTTACAGAGTGATTCAGTTTACCGAACAGATTGTATTGTAATATTGGTGTTTTACATGCTCGGTCTGTGGGTGGTTTTTTGGTTTTGCTTTCAGTATGCAAGTGGATTTTCGGTTAGAACAAAATATTTGCTTTGCTGTCCTAGATCTTCACGTCTTATGGCATTTCTTTCCATTGCTTTCAACAAGTTTTTAGTAATCATTTGGCGCATTAATGTGCTGCGACATCAAACTGATTGTTTCTACCCAGAGAGATTTGCTTTTAAAGTTCTGCTTGAATCGCCATGTTAACCTCTGCCATTTACAGTGACTGACAATCAGTAATGTCATTGTCACTCAATGCAATATCTCACCCTTTAAGACCTTCAGATACCACTGCCAACAGGAGAAAAATGTGAGGTAACTGCAACATGAGAGGAGGTGCTTACGTTATGCTCCTCACCCCTGTGTGCTCCCAGGCACCACCAGAGATGGGAGACCACAACCTCAGATGATGAAGCCTGGAAGATGGAATGCAATTTCATGTGTTTTTTAGCTATTGTGTTTGGTTTTATTTTTCACAAGTAATGGAGATGAGTAAAATTTTTGCCTACAAATAATTCGTTCTGGTTGCCAGACTTTCAAAATATATTCATTGTTCTCCAATTTGGGGATTTATATAAATTTTGTTGTAATGTGAGTTTTATGAATGCCATATTAAATACCAGTTTGTAATATAGAGGAGAACTGCATATTGGACTGTCGAGGGCATAGCAAATCACGTTTATCAGTTAGTTATTCATTGGCTTGGGGTTTTTATGCACGTTGTTATAACACTTTCTCCTTTTGAGGCTGTAGGTCAGCTGTTTTGTTGTTAAATAGTGCAGCACAGATGGCAGTTACCAGAAATAAAGTAGTGCAAATATGAAATGATGCTGATGCTTGCACCTGTGAGAAAGCCATCATTTATCAAGCCAGATATTACTCACACACTTATTTGCTTATTCTAACATCTTACGCACTTAGGAGCTGAATTTCTGGAGTCAGTTTGAGGCCTGCTTGCTTTGTGTTAAAGAAAGTGGCTTTAGGCTGTAACTGCATGGCATGATGGCCTTTGCAGGAGAGCTATTTTTCCCCATGCCAAGGTCCTGCCACATCAGGAGGCTGTGGCTTGGGCTTGCCTGCTGGAAAATGCAGCAACTGTTTTGCAGCTCTGCCAAATTCAAGCAATTTTTTCTCAGGATTGTTCATACTTCTAGATCAACTTGCTGCAGGAAATCCATCAATACTTAGTGAAAGTAGTTATGATAAAATCAGGTTCATCACGGGGAGTGGTAAATAGCCTGATAGTATATTATTGACTTACTGATTTTTTTTGATGTGGACCAGTCCAAAGAAATTGATCTGTCTGCTGGAATAATCATTTGATTCAAGTTTAGAAGCAGAATCCTACATGGTCAGAATTCACTGTGACCATCTGAAGCTTGTGAGTAAAGTGGTGTTCTCATCTGAGTTGATCATCAGCAACTCGGTCTGTCAGTCTGCCTGTGCTGGGTGTTTGTGCTTCAGTGCACTTCTGCAGTAAAATGCAGTCCTGGTGTTGCACAAGGGATTGGTTGTTGTATTATCTCATGGGCCCGTGGGAGATGCAAGCCTTAGCCTTAATCACTGATAACGGGTAGAGGAAAGCCACCTGAAATAAGTTGCATAGTTAAATCGTGCTATGTTGGAATAGAGAAATGCCATGATTCAGCACAACTGGGTTTTGTAGCTATTGACCACCAGCAGAATGATTAAACTGAAGTGCTCCAGCTTGCAGAGTGGTATTCTGTATGTGCTCAGTACAAGTGTGCACCCTTTAGGTATGCTCCTAGAGAATTGCTGTGTTCTGTGTATCGTGTGGCTGATAGTCCAACCAGATAAAATAAATGATGCTGGGAGGAATGTTAATAGCATTTGCTTTGAATCTTTATCCTTGGTAGACAGAGTTCAAGTAGACTTAATAGTGGCTCAGAGGTTTGGTATGTAAAAAAGAGGTTTTGGTAGCAAACGTTAAGATTTTGGCTGATCTAGTAATTTATTTTTTTTTGTGGCCATAAGTAATATGAAAACAATAGAAAAAGTAGACATGATTGTAAGTGGGTCCTAACTTAAGTGAAAAGTATGTTTGGTGAGGTTTAGTGATATATTACAGTGTCAGAAGTATCTTGATGTATATATTTGACATATTACTGACAAACAAATGAGACAGAATAAGAGAGAAACACACACAACATCCTTCTTCATGAGATTTGAGAAGTACTTCATTTAATCAGCCTGGAACAGATCCCCTGAATTTCCTTTTTCTTCATGGATCTTGTTATCCCTGATGTCCTGGGTATGTGATGACCTTAGAATGAATTGTTAGACATACTGAATTTAATCCTTGGTCTTTATTCTGGTCTTCCATAAGGGTTTCTTTGCAAGTTTAACTTCTCAGTTTAACTTTTCCTATAAAGCAAATGAAACGATGCATGTGACCTACTTTGAAATAGTTCAAAAGAACATCCAATTTTTAATAAGCATTGTTCATTAAATATTATTTACCATTCATTTTTCCTTAACTGGATTTAAAAACAAGTGGTGCTCAGTATAAATTTCGTTTTCCTCTCTTTCAAGTAATTTAGTACCTGCTAGGTCTATGGCTTTATTTTTTTTCTGCTGAGATTTGTACCATCTTCCCCTTATTATATCACAGGCTATCACAGCAAGTTTTAAATAACCTATGCAGCTATTGTGGGATTTTCTTTTTGGCATAACCATTCTGCTTGTCTAACCCAAAACTGGTAGTAATTTTGTTTCTATTTCTATCTCAGTGTCTGTTGTTGTTATTTATTTATTTTTTTTTAGGTACACTATTTTTTTGCATGGAATTAGAATTTGCCGTACCTTGCCACATATTCCAGGATTTTCCAATGTGTCAAATTGTAATGTGTTTTTTCTTTTTTCCTAAACATTCTAAGAAAGGAAAGGTGAGGTGAAACTACCGGATCAGCCTGTTCTGTCAATGTTTAACAAATCTAAGTTGGGATGGAGAACGTGCTTTTGAAGTCCATCCAGTCCAAAGTGCCCCACTTTGGTTCACACTGCAGAGTGTTCATGATGTGAATCAGTTTGATTCTTTGGCTTGAAGAGATGCTCCTGGAGTGCAGCAAACGTTTTCCACTCACAGTGGGGCAGCCAAACCAGGGGGTCGGGTGTTCTAGACAAGGCTAACTCAAGTTAGAAAATGCACACAGTACGTATGTCAGGCCTTCAGGACCAACATTTTTTTGTTTACAAATGTGTGTTTCTTTGGCCACATCACTTGCTGATGCAGACCGCTGAGCTGATGCAACTGATTATTTAAACTGTTTTTTGTGTACAATCAGTTCTCCAGTAAGAAGGGAGAACTTTGTTCCAGTTTGGAATCTATTTTAGCTATAAGTTTTTTCTGTAGGAAGTTTTTGTCTTAGTAGTTCAGCCCTCTTATGTATGCAAGTGTGCATGTTTATTGCTGTGGTTGCTTTCTACCAAACATAAAATAGTATGAGCATATACAAGTTTGAGGTAATATTTCTGATATATTTTCTGACGGTAGTTATTTTCCATTGCACTTTTTCCTCTCATGCCTTGTGTATGTATTCAAAAAGTCATAAATACTTGATTTAAGTTATAGACATCAAAACCACTCTTGATATTTAGTGTCTACCCTGCAGGTTTTATTTCTCATTTCTGCCATCTGCATTTGGCTCCAGCACAGACAACTAGCTGGACGCTTCCTAAGGTCTGATACATCTCTCTAGATTAGTTCAACAGAACAGTTTGCAGTTAACCACAGTATCATGTATTTTAATTTTAAGTACTCTTTTTTTTTTCTTTTTTTTTTTTTTTTAACTCAAACTGAGAGCATGAGAGTACTCTTAAGAATCCAGGCATCCCTTTCCTTGGAACCATCTTTCAGTTCAGGCCCTGACTACTGCACTGAACACACCAATGTCTGCCCATGGATTACAAAGTATGAGTAGCCTGTTCTGCTGTGAACGGGATGAGTCAGGTCAGCTAATTACCCCTTTTTGCTCCAAGGGTAAACCAGAGAGACCTAATGTTGACAAACATCAGCCTGATTCTTTAAGAGCATTCAGTGATGGATACTAGCAGAAGGAAGCCGTGTAATCCAGTGCTTAATTAAGGTTGCAAAGATTTTTTTTTTCTCTCTAAAAATTTAGCCTAAATCTTCTGTTCCTCAACTTACATTATTAACACATCCAATTTCTGCAGCAGCATGGAGAGTGGTTTCTTTCTTTTCCTCCTTTCAGTTGTGACTCAAAATCTGGTATCTTGTCCCTGCTGTAGCTGTCATCTTTTTTGAATGTTACTTTTCTTGGGAGTCTCCAGTTTGTCACATTTCATGTGTGGTGTTTGGAAGTGGACATGAAAAGTTTTAATAGAAATATTTGATAATATGTGGTATCTATAAAGTGGGAGTGATGAAGCAGGAAATTGTACTTCATCTGATATTTGTCCATCCTGGCTGTTCATATGGTGCCTTACAGGTATGATGCGTGCTTTTTAGGGGTTACTGTGTTATAATTTCAGTATTTGAATCTTGTCTAATATGTAAATCTGTTTCTATATAGCAGCTGCAACCTAGACACTTGTTTCCCACTGTTTGCAATTACAACTGACAATATGAAACTTTGAACTTGCTGTTACTGAATTAAATTGAAGATGTGTGTGTATGATGCGTGTTTTGCAGGGAAAAAAAAGCCCTGCAGCTGATTTAAATAACTGAATATTCCTCTTTCTGCAAAGATGGCTCTCTGAGCTGCAAGGGTGGGAAAACTGAAAGCTTCTGCATCTTCTTCCTCTATGCTATTTTTTTTTTAAGTTAAAGAAAGTCTGGTTTTCTACATGCAGAGTTGGATGTGTTGACATGGAATGTACTGTTTTTACTGTGCAGATATTTTAGGGAGTTTCTAAAACTTGATGGTTGAAAAAAAGATGGGGACTTTTAGTCTCCTTTATGGCAAAATAATATGCTATTGCAAACTTCCAGAGCGAGCTACCATCATATCTCTGTGTCTATAATAACCTTCTATTCTTTTTTAAAATTTTAGATGCTGGCATCACCATCAACATCAGGTCAGCTGTCTCAGTTTGGGGCAAGTTTATACGGGCAACAAAGTAAGAATTACTTTTATTGATTTTATTAGATGTTCTAGTTTCATGCTCTTTGGATAGGCAATGTGTCGGCTTTGGCATTTTTGGTGATTGTAAAGAACACTGTGTCCTGTCATGTGTAACTTCATTTATTTTGAAAGATACGTTTTTGCATCGTCTGTCATCCATTTCTGCAGTGTTTGGTACACAAAGTGTCACATATTGAACATATACTGTATTTGGATGTATACAGTTATATAGTTATACAGATAACTGTTAAATATCCAAATACAGTCATCCTATAAGGAATATCTGGGAGTTAACTAACTGAAGAAAAACTAAGGAAGGTGAGCTGGGCCAAACTGAATCTCCTTCAGAAAAACATCTAAGGGCTAGAGGGAAATTGTACTTCATGGTTTGTAGGACCAAATTAAATCTTGTCTGTATGCTTGGCAACTCACAATTGGCAAAGAATTACACCAGGAAGATTGTTTCCTTCTGCTCCCCTGTTTGTTTTATTCTATCTCTTGAAGATATTTTTTTCTTGCATCTGCCAGTCTTGTGTATACTGTTGCTAATGAAGGCATACTGAGAAACAGTAACGCTGTGCAATGCTAGACCTGATGTAAGTGCTGGAGTTAAGAGCTGAACCTCCCTGAAGTTAAGGGAGGCACACAGAGAGAGTGACTCGGAGCACCTGAGTTAGATAAGAATTTCACAAGTAAAACAGGTTCGTGAACATCTTTCATTACTCCACACTTTTGAATGTTTGCAGCTTTCTAGCCAAGTCCATCTGACTCAGACAATAAGGAAAGGTGTCTTAAGAATGTTTTAGATATTTTTATTGAGACACACTAAAAGCTTTGTCTCCCAAGTGCATGGCCTTTGTAGCTTATTTAGGCTTTCTTCACATGGTTTAGAAAGTTTAGTGATTTTTTAAATTATTTTTATTTTTTACTATCCCCGTGGCTGTTGATGTGTGACTGTCACACCAATGTGTATTTGATTGCACTGCTGGGACTTTCTGCCCAGTCTGAGAGTCAGATTTGGATTTTTGAGTCCCTAATCTGACACTGCTGAATCTTTCAGGCTCAGCTGCATAACGATATTGAAGCGGCTGATTATTTTTAGGGGTAATTTTTTTCATCAACTTTGTTGTGCAGCCCAGTTGTTTGTCATGTCTAGGACACAATCTCTTGAAGATGGAGACTTGTGTGGCTGAAAATTCAGAAGTAAATATTTTCAGAGTTCATTTTCTTCCAAATATGGAGGAACTGCTGTATTCCTGTAAATTCTTATGTTTAAAATATTCTGGGAGAGACAAAGCTGCTGTCCAGGTACTTTTAGATTGACAGCTGTCAGTCATTTAGCAAGATGTCATTTTAAAGAGTTAAGTTAAACTTAATTTGTAGGCATTAAAAATTAACCACTTAATCAGATGACAGATCTCTTGTCTCAGTTTAAATGAAAAGCTTAGAAAAAGGAAGCATAAGAGAAGGTTTCTTTGGATGGTTTTCGTTGGTTTTTTTTTTTTTTTTTTTTTTTTGCTGTTGTTGTTGTTCATTTGGAATTTCTTTGTAATAGCAAATATTTCAACTGCCCTTGCCAGCCACAGTAGCAGAATACGGTAGCAGAACTACTCATTAAAAATTCTAATTAAAGAAAAGCAACTACTAGAAGAAATGCTATTAGTGGAAAAACTGACTGCATTTGAACAAATGCTTGCACAAAATCAACCTGAATACAGTAATCGCCTTTTTCAGTGTACCATCTCTAGAAGAGTATGGATTTTTTTCTTTACCATTTTATTTTTTAAATTCCACCTAATCGTTAACTGGTGTGAAATACTATTTATAATATACATTTATGCTCATAGAAATTATTCTGATGCAGCAAATTGCCAAAGTATTTACAGCAAACACCTCGATATAATCAGCAATTAATGAAGTCTTAGGAGGCTTGTTATAGTGAGTCACGCTACTTCTTAATCTCAGTTGACAGAGATAAACTGGAATGTTATCCAAATCCCTCGTTGCAGACTTGCAGTGAATGGTAGGGCAGAACACGAGGGCAGGCTGCACTTCTGCAAGAGTGAGAGCTGAACAGCTGGGAGGTTTCTTCAGACCTCGTCCATGGCAATAACTGGAGCGTATGCTGTGTCCATCCTTTGCGTTCTTAGTATTTCATCATGTCGTTCACTGGCATATTCAGCTCTGCTGAAGGGGTGATCTATCATTGGAGAGTGCTGATTCGTCTTAATTTTTCTTCCTTTTGTCTGCAGGATAAGGTTTTTAATTCTCTGAGGCTTCCTCAGCAGCCTCACACTGAAGCGATAGGACTGTTATTTATAGCTATTGCATTTTAGATGCAAGTGTGTTTCTGTTGATATGTTGCACTAAATGGCTTTCTCTTGTCTTTGGACGTAATTCTAAAACTCCTTGAGTACAGAAAAGGAACGTGGAAATGATCAGAAAATCCGTACAGTATTCTGACATTTTGAGACAGGTTATTTTTTGTTCTTCTGAATTGAGATGATTGTGTGTGTGTGTGTGTTAATAGAGTGCTTATGTTATTTCATTGCACACAAATGCTTGCGTAGAAAATAATTTTCATCACAATGTAAAAAATCAAAAACATCAAACAAGCAAAACCCCAAACCAGCTCCATACGCTTTTAATTGCTAGCTGAGGATGCTTAAATCCTCCTTGCTTTCAGACATCAAAAAATTAAATTGAACCTGACTTTGGACACCGAAATTGCCTATTAAAAAGAAGCAACTTAGACTTTACAGAGGAGTGTCCTAGAGTGTTCATTCTTATGCCCTGAAAGCCATGTTATGAAGTGTGCCTAGTTTTATTTTTTTAGTTACAGGCTTGCATTTTTTTTTTTTTACAAGTTAGATTGACGTTCTAAATGCTGGCCGAATATATTTCAATTGATTCAAGTGTAATAACCTCTTTCTTCAGTGGAGATATTTCTTTTCTCAAAACACCGACTTTTTAAATATGTAGATTTCCACGTCCTCGTCAACAAAACCACAGCTCCCCCTGTTCTATTCAGAATTCATCTCAAACAAAATTTTGTTAGTGACTTAAAGAGAAATTTTGTCAAGAGCCTTTCTCAAGTTTGACTAGAATGGGGCTATGAGTGAGATAACTGGGCTTGTAGTACGCAAGCAAGGACTTCATTTTACACTGCACTTTCCTACAGTCTTTACACTTTTTGAGGTTGTCAGCATAAATTGTTTCCATCCACACCTGATGGCTAAGACTTTGTTCCGGATCGCTATGTATCTCCACCCCTCTGAATTTTTTTTCAATAGGTGCACTAGGCCTTCCAATGAGGGGAATGAGCAACAATACCCCTCAGTTAAATCGCAGCTTATCACAAGGCACTCAGTTACCGAGCCACGTAACGCCAACAACAGGGGTACCAACAATGTCACTTCACACGCCTCCATCTCCGAGCAGGTATTTATTGATAGCCAATGTTTCTGCAATTGTGTCTTTCAGCAGAGCACTTACTAAATGTTCTGCGTATCGTGCCACAGCTACTTTAGACTGATTAATTAAAAAAGAAAAACAGTAATTTTTATTGACCGTTGCCTGTGTCGGGTAAGTAATACCGTAAAACAGTAGGATAAGACTTAACGTAAGACAGTGTTTGATTTTGTATATAAAGGATAAGTTGCTGGCAAATTCTGCTTCAGAATGTAAGAGTCTGTTTTTTGGTTGTTCTGGTAAACAAATGGTAAATGTTTTTATACGGCTGTTCTACACTGTGTGAGAATGTTAAGGTAGTAGGTCTGAAGTGCTCTTTAAATAAGAGTTGTAACGCCTCTTCAAATGCATAGTGCTTAAGTATTTATCTGAACCTGACTGAGGACTTGACTGGTACTTGATTGGTCATCTGGTGTTTCTGAAGAAATCCAAAACTACGTTAATTATAGAGTAATCCAAACACGTTGAATCTAAGCACAAATTAAGTTGCAACAACTCCAAGTCTATCCTACATAATTTAAATGAGTAACCAAATACTATTGCACAGATTCATCTCTGTGGATGGTTTTTCTCTTTCAGGGGGATATTGCCTATGAATCCTAGGAATATGATGAACCACTCCCAGGTTGGTCAGGGCATTGGAATTCCCAGCAGGACAAACAGCATGAGCAGTTCAGGGTTAGGCAGCCCCAACAGAAGCTCTCCAAGCATAATATGTATGCCAAAGCAGCAACCCTCTCGACAACCTTTTACTGTGAACAGGTAAGGCTGTTTGGTCAGACCATCCCTGTGCAGCCATGAGCGTGCTTAAGTACTGCTCTCAAAGTCTAGTTTTTTATCCATTAGAATAAAACTTCAGAGTGCTGCTTTGTGTCTTCCAGTCTCTCAGTGCTAACTTTGGAAGCTGCTGTCAGTGCTTGCGCAGGCATATTGTAGCCTTTCAGCTAAATTCTGTTTCTGACTACTTAATTTCTGCTGCTCCTTCTTTAAAGTATGTGATGTTTCTAGTGTGTTCCAAAGTTTGTTTTCGAATCAGGCCTTGGTTTTTGTATGTATACATCTTGAAAACTATTCATCTATGAGTTGGGAAGAATTAAGGCAAGTGGTAATCCAGAATAACTATTTCTAAATAGTTATTCTATAAGAACAGTTAACTGATTTGGACACAATGGAGACCTCATATTTTACTTCTTTAAATTCTGGAATAATATGGGAAGCAGTGGTTTTCAACTCATCTAAGGTGCTCATTTTGATGCCAGAATTTTCTCAGTTACTTCTGCTTTTTTTTCTAATTCTGGGCAAGATTGTGGCATCAGAAATCATTGTGCTTTAATTGTTGTTGATATGTTTATGCTTAGTTTATATTGATAACCTTGTAATAAAATGTGTGTCAATTCTGATTACATAGCATGTAACCAGCTTTATACAGCTGACTATTTTCCAGGCTTCTTTCCAGAACCTCATGATCCCTGCGTTTCCAGGTTGTTGCTCTTTCTTGCTTCATGCCCTAATCTAGGGGACTGAGCTCAAATACACTCATGGCAGTCAAATGCCACCTCTAACCTGGTGTACTATTTTTACTAAACAAATGAAGAAAAAATGGATGCCAGTTATCTGAAACTTGATCAGTCCATTTAATTCTGTATCTTTGCATTATGATATACACATTAAATAACCTCTTTCTTCATCACAGCAGTAGAGGTTTGGTAATAGCAATTTATGTTCTTGGAGCGTGAGAAGACTTTGAACAGAGGCCACTTTGAAAGTAATGCCTCCTATTTATTTCCATGGAAACTACAACAGATATAGATAGAAAGCACAACAACACCGTTTGATAAAACGAATTCTCAGCTACAAAATACCATTTTTCAACATAGTCACTGCTGTTAGCTATGGATTTTTGCCTGTGATGAACAAGAGCCAGCGTGCCATGCTTGTCAAAGTCTGCACCAGCTGAGGTGACCCACTGCTGAAATGCACCACCCACTACCTCATTGTGCTCATATCTGCTGTTTGGTCTCCATAAACATTCAGAAAATGCCAGTGGATGCCATTTTTTTCCACATGGAGGAATTCAATTCCACACCTTTGCTTATCTGCACTTCCGTGTAAGAAGCCATTTTATCAGACTGCCCCTCTGCTGCCATCTGTCACGTGGCAACAAAATGTAACAGAATATTCATAGGATGGTTCAACCCCCACTGCCATACCACCAACATCCACCTCTGATGCTGTGGGCTAATAGAGTAAAATAGGAAGCATTTCTTAAAGAGCAGCCCTTGTGTCTTGGCCTATTCTTTCCTGTGATGTACCAGCAAGCAAAGGAGATGATAATTTTAAAAGATGATTTTATATTTTAAAGTGTTTGTAAAACTTGAGCATGGATCAAAAAAAAAATCTATGTGCAGAAAATAATGATTTTGGAGATTGGTGTATAGAAAATACTTGTTTAAGTAACATCAAGCTGTAGGGGAGAGATAATGAAATCCCATTCTGTAGGAGCATTTGAATGAAAACCCTCTTTTGTTGTTTGCGTTGTATAGCTCATGTTAATGATGACACAGTTTTTACAAGTTGAAAAGAACATATTACTAGAACAGTGCCAAGTTCTTACTTCACATTTTATTAGCCTGCAAAAGTATAGTACATATCCAATTGTTAATTGATTATATTTAATGAAATGGTGACTTGACATTTGAAATAAAAGAGGTTTTATTTCCTTGAGAGGTGCATGAATTATGTGACTTCCATGAAGTGTTTTGAGAATTGTTCCCTTTCTTGGAGCAAAGAATGATTTTAGGTCTTTGAATATACAAAATACTTAACTTTTTCTTTCTTAGTTATGTCAGTAAAACATGTTAAAAGCTGAGGTAACACTGGTTAACAAGCAGTTTACAAGTGCAGGGAAATACGCATTTGGTGGCCTAGTCCCTTTCTTATCACTGAAATTCTTGATCTAGTTAATTCTGATTACTTTAAAAACAAATGAACAAAAAAAAATCTTGCATGAGAAGCTTGTGTGTGACCAAGCAAAGTTATATTCACTCAAAATCAAATTATCTCTGGTTGGTGTTCTCACCAAGTCCAGGATTCACGGAGGACACCAGGAATGTTTCTCGTAGTTCATGAAGTGTCAAAGATTTTGATGTCTTCCAAATGCACCATCTTGCTGAAGCAGAGCAGAGTGGAACCGTTGTTGATTGCTCCCTTTTCTTGATGTCTCAGTCAAAAACAAAGTATTTAGGGCTTGAAATTAATTGTAAAAATGTGAAAAAGTCATGTTAGTAAAAATTCTAGTAGGAAAACTTGACACTTCTATGCACAGGAACTTATAAAATATCACCTTTTGTCCTCTTACAGGGGGAAATGAATGTTGTGGTTTCCACAGGGCAGAAATAACAGAATTTCACTTAGTTCTGGGCTACTTTGTGACAGCTTAACATCTTCGGTTTGCACAGAATGGAGCAGATCATTCGGATGTTTGTCAGACCACAGCAGTCCTATCTGATTCTTAGATGTCTTCAAGTATTTTTACTTGTCTGTGTGATACTTAAACTTAACTGATGTCCTTGTGTGGCAGAGACCATACATTGTGATGGTTGCACACAATAACTTTCCAGCTTTTAATTGAGTCATGACAAATTTGATCACGTCGATGATTCAGCTGCCACCCTCAAATGAATGCTCTCTAGTCTGACTTTTTGCTGTTGTCTTTACTGATATTTCATTTTTATGTATGAAATTACTGAGTAAAATGCACATTTATCATAACTTGTTGGCTGACAGATGTCAAAGGAGTTGTGGTTGTTAAAAAAAAAAAAATCGGGTTATTTTGAAGTCATTTCAGTTTCATTCAGCAATGTTCATTGCTGTTCAGAATTTTCAAAGGTATAAAGGCAAGTAATATAAAATTGAGTTTAGGCTAACAAGGATAGCTTAAGATGACATAATTTAAGTGCCTTTGGCTTTTTTCCTTAATGCCTTCAACTGGAAATTATGAAAGTCTCTACTCTCTTTTCTCTGACTACTTGGATTTTTTTCACAGTATGTCTGGATTTGGGATGAACAGGAATCAGGCATTTGGAATGAATAACTCCTTATCAAGTAACATTTTTAATGGAACAGGTGAGTTTACTCTTAATTTATGCTGATCTCGCAGTTCAATAGAAAGATTTTGTTTTTGATTGAATAAGCTTAGAAATACTTTGAGTGCAGTTGTTGCACAGAAGTGATGCCTTTAGAGAGCAACTCTGCATGTTCTTCAGCAGATTTTGTAAACCTGACATTAATGCAGAAAAAGTATTTTATTCTAGTTTCAAGATTCTGTGGAGAAATAACTGTATTAATGGTTTGTTTGTTTTCCCATTGCACAAAATAACAAAAACAGTGCTATGCCATCTGTTGTTATTGCTTCAGAGCAGTAGCTTGTAATACTTCTGAAAGGCAAAGTATAAGTCTGCTATAGAATAATCACTTGGCTAGAAGTTGTATCTGTTCAGCTAGAAATGCAAAGTAGCTATGGAATTGGAAAGGAGATCGGAGAAGAAAAGTTTCAGAGGATAAACACAACAGGGCAGCGTTTTTAAAGACCTCAAAGTCTTCCAGTCAGTTGTTTCAGTTGTGATTTTTTCCCAGGGAATTACTCTTCACCTGACTCTAATGAATTAGAAAAAGATCAGTGTTCTCATGTAACGGTGCTGGAGGCTCGCAGTGCTTTGGTATTGGCTTGTTTGTGGCTGCCTGCCCAGAGGTGCTGCTGATGTCACAGCACGGAAGCCTCAGCTGAGGGGTTTGGCATCCCCATGGCCTTATGACATCTTTACAGAGCTGTGCTGCTCCCCTCACCCATGTGGTTTTATCACTGCAAACTGAAAAATCTTCCCACGTTACTTGTACTGCGTTGGCTCTGCAGTGGTTTGGACTTTACCTTGTCTTGTCTTATCTAAGCAGAAAAGAGCTCCTTCTTGATGATATGGGTGATTATTTTCTCTGAAATCTTTCCTTGGTAGCTCCTTACATTTTAAATGGGTTACCTATCCTAATGCTCTGGTTTTGATATTCTGCCTCTATCTTACGTATGCATTGTTTAATTAAAAATGAGAAAACAGTATTACTAAGTTCTACTGACTGCATTTGCTTAAAGAAAATCTCGATGCTCTTGAGAGTTGTGTTGTAATACAGATGTTGTATGTATTTGGGATGATTATAAATGTAAGAGTAAAAAGATCAATTGGAAGCAAGAAAATATATCCAAGATTTATTTTGTGCATAATGAAGTTTTTTTTTTTGTTTTTTGCTTTTGTTTTTAAGTAAAAATAAATAAATAAAGCTAAAGAGGGAAAAAAAAAAAATTACCTGCTTTTGTTGTAGATGGAAGTGAAAATGTGACAGGACTGGACCTCTCAGATTTTCCAGCACTAGCAGACAGAAACAGAAGGGAAGGAAGTGGCAATCCAACTCCATTAATAAACCCTTTAGCTGGAAGGGCTCCCTATGGTAAGGTTATATTTTTGAAAACTCTTTGAATGAACGACATGTCTATTTGCTCAGTTTGCCTTTTTCAGTTCTAAAGACAATAGGAAGCCTTTTCAAAAATGCCAATATCTCAAGCTGAGTCTCGTTTTTTGAAAATCAGCAGTCAGTGTCTTTATAATTGGAAATTCCTCTCAGGTTTCTGTAAGTATTAAGACTTACTTGTTTTAAATTCATTGCCAGCAGTGGCAGCTGGGATTTTCAGTCATGGTAGTGTGATAAATCTAAAGCTGCTCACTCTCCAGAATTATTTTTAGGCAATAGGTTGTTTTCTACTTTGCACATATGCAGAAACTGTCCAGTTTTGAAGAATAAATTTTAGAAATAATGCTTGATTGTTAAAGATACATATTAGAGATACTTTTGTGTAAAAAGGGCACATTATAAACATTCTGTTTATCTTCAGTGTTTATTGGTAGTACCTGCTGTAGTACTGTTCACCATCACTCTTACGGTGAACATCAGATTTAAAAAAAAAAAAAAAAAGTAGCCTGTAACCATTGACTGTCATTCAGATTCCATATCTGTGTCTTATATAATTCTTGCTGAACAGCTTAAAAATAATAAAAGGAAAAACATAAGGGTGGATACAATTCTTACTATTTGGGTCTGGAAAAAAATTAGGTAAGTTTAGCATGAAGGACAATACTTTTTTCTGTTACTGCTTCAGTAGATTTTGTCATGCATGTTGCATCAGCTGCTCTGAAAAGTTGCATTTATAACTTATTTTTATGACACTTGTCAAATTTCCAACTAAATATATCCTAGTCTTTTCCAGCTAAAAAAATAGCTAGTGTTCTTCAGAGATAGCTCCAATTCTAATTGGAGCAAAATAATAGATATTACATTATCAGGGGAAAGTAGCCTCATGGATTGGGTGTAACCAAGACCTTCTGCTTAAGATAGCTGTGAGAAACAGCAAAAGAAGTCAAACTGAAGTGCTCCCAAATGCAGGCAAAAGTCACTTCCCCTTGTAAAGACGCTGGAAAGTCACACTAAGAGTAGAGAGCTGATATGGCTTGTAGTTTACACAAGTTTGTCCATCTCCAAATGAGAAGCCATTACTTGGAAAACTGATGGAAGATGGAGGAAAGTTCCACACAGATGTACTTGCAGCATGGGGCTGGAGTTCAGTAGTGAGCTGTACTGCTGCATTTAAAAAAAAAAAAAAAAGACACCATTTCCCTATTTGTGGTGCTAGCATACCTGTTTGTGTGAGTTATCTTGAGCACCAGCTAAATGCAGGTTGCTTTATTGTAGAAACAGTTAAGAATTAGTTATGAGGTGCACTTGCCACTGTCTAGGCAAGTAACGTGGAGAATGCTTTTGGTTGTGGTCAGGAAAGAAGAAGGTTTCCAACTGAGCTGAGGCATGCTTTCTTTATGCTTAGCTTATTTCAGAAAATAAGCCTTCAAACATTTCTTAGATAGAAGGAAAATATGCAGTATAGTTAATTCATGATCAGTATTGTTCTTCCAGTGGAAGAAATCATAACAACTATGAAAGCAAAGAGATTACAGAGGAAACAAAATTATATATTTTTTTTCTTGATGGAACATTGACCTTTAACATAAGAATACAATACAAAGTCGTATATGTTGTAAGCTACTGAGCCATTTTAGATCTTACATTGTCTGTTAAGAAACATTGAAAAATAGGACCTACACTTGCTTCTGCCATCTCTTACTGTAGTGGTGTAGTTTTCAAACAAGTCACTGTATTACTGTTCTGTGTCTTAGAAAAGAATATTTGCCCTTGGGTGTCTGGTGGAGGATTTTTGTTCTGTTTTGAACTGGCACTGAAAAAATGTTGCTTTTCAGTAGTCAGAATCCATATTCCAATGTGACTGGCCTAGTTTTTTAAAATTAGGGTCAAAGCATTGAGAGTTGCAGGCTAAATGCTTTCAGTTTCAGTACTGAAAGTAGGAGTCGTTCTTATGTCACAGGCAGGTATTACATTGGTGATGTGTTCTGTTGCAAGTTAGCTGGGCATCTTAAGGATACCTGTTTCTAAGGAGATCAGAGAATGGAGGAAAAAAATGTATAACATTAAAAGCAGTGTATCCTTGCTTCAGTGGATTTCCTTAAAAACTACTTCAATAATGCCTGCAAAGATTTATTTATTTATTTATTTATTTTTTAGATATGCAAAACAGGTGCTTTTCTTGATAAAAGTTTCAGGCTTCATTCTTAAAGCGGTGGATTTGTCTATGAATTTAACCCAGAGTGTTTCTCAGCTCACACTTAAATAGAGGCTTTAGTCTAATCTGTGTGGATGTTTTAAATGAATATGCTTTGTTTCGTTTTACCTGAGTTGTTGGTTTTTTAAGTTGTTTCCTGCTGAACTATGTGCACATAAGAAAAATGAGCAGTAAGCAAGAGCAACAGGAAATTTTTTTCCTAGCAGTCAATTAACTTTATTCCTGCTTTCATCTTGATAATAGTTGGGATGGTAACAAAACCAGCAAGTGAGCAGTCCCAGGACTTTTCAATACACAATGAAGATTTTCCAGCATTACCAGGCTCCAGCTACAAAGACCCAACATCAAGTAATGATGATAATAAATCTGTAAGTAAAGCTTTTTCTGTTTCAAGTGTTCAAACTTTTCTTGATTGCTGTATTTCAAAATAGGCAGTGAAATATATTTATAGTGTAAGGTTTTCGAAGTTGCCCCTTTAAATTAATGAGAAATTTTATGTAAGTAGGGTTTCATACGTGACTCTGTCACTGTGACCTTGCTCTGCATATCCTCATAGATATCTATTGCTCTGCATATCCTTAGAGTGAGAGTGAGTGAGGAAAAACTCACAAGAATACTTCAAAATTATTTACAAGAATTGACATATATTTTTAAAGTTTTGCAATTCATAACTTCTTTTTGCATCTCAGTTGTCGCTGTTGGTTCTCTCTCATCAGTAGCAGTAGGTTTCACATTGTACCATCTTTCTTTAAAGCTGTCAAATCCTTTAAATGTTAGGTAATAAAATACCACTTAAAGGTAAAATTATTGATGAGCATATGAAAGCACAGGGAACATGGTATTTTAATAGAGACTATTACATTTGTGGTTATGTTGCAGGCTAGTTGCATCTTAAGTATTATTCTAATTACTGTGTGTTAGATGGTAAGATTTTTTTTGTTGTTTACTCTGGAAGATCTGTAATTAAAATTTGTGCTTTTTATTACAAATTAGAGATAAATACACTAAAATTTGGATGACAAAGAACAGCATTCTACAGTGTTGGACAAAATGTTCTAGTTTGATTGTTTTACTACTTAGAATTGCAAAATTTGGTTAATCAGTGGTACTGGCAGGTAGGTATTAGAAGTGACTACAAACTCACACAAAAACTGGAAAATGTAACTTCAAAAAAGGTGGAATCTAGGCCTTCTCCTTGGAAACTATGGACAGATTACGGTGTAGAGAATGTTCTGATCACTTGGAATTGAGTACAGTAAGGAACAGGGGATGAAACATGATTATATTGTGTTACTGCAGATTTGTTTTAAAGAATATTAAAGAAATGTTTATGGAAAGTACCTTTTGTCAGTATGTGGGCTCCTGGAGAGCTATTGCAGTTTTCTTGCCAAACACAGTGTTTACATCTCTTTCCTGATAGTTGCAAAGGTGCCAACTGTTTGTTGTTTACACCTGAAATTGGCTTGATTTATTACCTATTGCTGCATCGTGGAGTGTTGTGACTGCAGGAACAAGGCTATTGGAAAAAAGACAGATACTTGGGACATTCTTTGCCTATTCAAACTCAAGTTTAAAATAATTTCTTTCCCAAGATTGCAAGCTGTAGGCTTACTAATAGCTCTTATTGCATGGGAAGTGTACTTTATGAAGTGTTGAATATTACATAAGGTTTGTGAACAGAGTACAAGAACTTCAGCTTTGTTGCATTTTAGTAGCTAATATATTAGTGTGACTTGAAGTACTGTTCAGAGTTCTTGGATGAAAGATATGGTCAACCAATCTTTTCCTTTTTGGATTATTTCCATCATACCAACTCTACAAATTACTTTTAATAGAATTTGAATACATCAGGCAAAACATCATCCAGCACAGATGGGCCCAAGTTTCCTGGAGATAAAAGTTCAACTACGCAAAACAACAACCAGCAGAAAAAAGGGATCCAGGTGTTACCTGATGGTATGTATCATTCCACTTTGTCCTCTTCAAAGGTTTTGGCAGGCCTTTACATCATCGTGTTGATTTCTTCACCTCTTGAAAAGAGAAAATTAATTTGTTCTTCTTGCCCAGGTCGGGTTACCAACATTCCTCAAGGGATGGTGACGGACCAGTTTGGAATGATTGGCTTGTTAACATTCATCAGGGCAGCAGAGACAGATCCAGGAATGGTACATCTTGCATTAGGAAGTGATTTAACAACACTAGGTCTCAATCTCAACTCTCCTGAGTAAGTTTCTGTTTTTTAGTACTGTCTTCAGTTTTGTTTTTATTATGCTGTCATTCACAGTAACAGATTCACTTAGTTTACATAAGCATCAAACCCACAAGATATTTTGCCAAATAAAATTTGAAAATGTTAAGACAGTAAAATAAAACTTCCATAAACAAGATAATTGTGCCTCAAGGAATACTGAGATTTGTTTTGCAAGCTTTCAGTAAGCCTAGTGGCTTTGCTTATTCTCCTACCTTTTTAGGACTTTCTTCAAGGAATTGACAGTGTATTTTTAATAAACCTCAGATACACATTATTTTTCTAATAATAGTATTCCTTGAAGGTATTTGTATATAGATATCAGGAATTCGGGGCATAGATACTAGTGCATCTACAGAGTCTACTTCACACCAAAAATGAAAATATGGTGTTATAGTTAACCTCGAGTCATTCATTTCAGCTCAGTTTAGTCATCTAGGCTTTCTGTAGAGGTAGTGGATGGAAGAGTAATTGCAAGTTCACAATGGTAAGAGAAGTTCTTAGGAATAGTAAGGTGAATCACTAGCCCAAAAAGCCTCTTTTTCTGTACTTGTTACAGAAGAAACCTAGATTTTCCCCCAGTTTGGGGAAGAAATGCCTATCTTCGTGACTACAGTTGTGTGAGGTAAATTGAATTTCTGGTACTTTTGCAGCTGAGAATGTCCCATTGTGACTATTCAGTCGTGAAAAATTTTATACCCTTCTCATTGAGGGAGGCACTGAGGGGGAACAACAGGCCTTTAGTTTATTTTAATCTATAAAATACAGTTGATAGGAAGCATGCATTGACCTTATCCTTTGATACAGTCTTTCCATGTCCTGAATTTTTGCCTTACATTATGTAAATGACTCTTAATCTTTCAGTAAAGAGAATGCAGAAACGAGCCTTAGTCACCTTACTTCTGTGGCACTTTGTATGTGGGGGAAAAACAAGATGTCTAAATTCCTTGAATAAAGAGTTGTGATGCTTTGTATCAGCAGAGATTTATGTAATCTTATGTAACCTTATTGGCAGTGTAGTGTATACATTTCAAATCTTACATATAAAACGTTAGCCAAACAAAGACCAAACAGTATATATATGGATTTCCTGTCACAAATTTTATATACAACTGCATTCTGACTGTGTGAGTGCAGGGAAGATTTCTGAATGGGAGTATCAAGGTGAGAGGGAAATCGCAGGGAAAAAATAGCTCCTGATTTTTGCATCTTGAAATGATTGGCATTAATGTACATGTTTATTTCTCGAGGAGTAACTTTTTAGAAATAATCATTTCTAGAAAATATTTCTGTAATGTTTGCATCAGAACACAGTCAAATTGTCATATCGTTGGCGCTTTTAAAAATATTTAAAACCACCTCCCAGACTCATCCTTCTGGTACAATTGCATGCAGTTATTTGTGGAATGTGTTACTTGAACATAGTATTTTCTTTGCTTGTGCTAGTCTCACAGCTCCCTTTCCCTATTCAATCTAGCAGTTTTTCACTCCCATCTCCTTCTCCCTCAGCATGCTGAGAATACATAAAGAACAGTTAAACTGATCACGGGTTGCTGCTTTTCCTCAGTAGTTCCAGAATTTTTAGCACTCACTGGGAGACGGATCTCCTGGATCTTCCAGATACTAAAGTTATTTACTATTCTCACTACAAATTGCTCGAAGTAATTGGAGAATAATCAGCTGAAAATATGAGAATACCTTTGTTTGTAAAATAATTTAGAGTACATCTGTATCTGAAGCTTGAGCTTCCTCTGTTACTGTTCCTCAACACAGGTGAAATCTGGTTACGTCATTCAGTTAAACAGCTGGCATGCAGAAGTTGTAGAATAATATTTCTGGTAATATTATTTGATGTTTTATGCAACATTATGCATTAGTTTTGATGCCCAAAATAAAACTTAACCTTTACTCACCTACTGAATAGTCTATAGGGAATTTGGAACTAGATGATCTTAAGGCCCCTTCCAACCATTCCGTGATTTTCTGCTTTGGGGATGACCTATAGATGTGCTTTACAGCTCCTGAGTGCAACATCCAGACTATTATTATGTGTGAATACATAAACAATATATACACGTGACATACTGCTGCTATTTTTCAGCAGATGTAAGTTAAAGAGCAGGATTTTTAAAAGCTTTTAACATATAATTACTCTATATTAGATATTTATGTGTTGGATGAAGGAGATAGGTTTAGTATTTAATCTATTCTGTGTTATAAAGTTGGTTTCATTTTATACTACAGAGCAGTTTAGCAAAAAGCCTGTGCTGTCCTTAATGTCTTGCCTTATGTTAAACATCCTTTGCTTGATTTACAAATTGCCATTAGAAAAAATAAAAGCATTCTGCATGTGGAAAGCAGATTTCTTTTTCTGCCTTGTGAGATGCTTCTAATATTAAAGGCACTTATCCCATTTAAACACACAATAAATGTACTTTTAGAAACATGATTTTAGAATTCTGCATATATTTTTCTTTGAAGTAAACCTAATAACTCCTGGTTTTGTACCTCTTTTCTGTATAGACATGTTAACACTTATTGCTTAAATAACGATTATTTATTGCCTATACAGACCCATATTTCCTTAAGACATACTTTTCATGGAATCATAGAATGGCCTGGGTTGAAAAGGACCACAATGATCATTTAGTTTCAACCCCAGTGCCATCTGCAGGGTCACCAACCACCAGACCAGGTGGTTGCCCAAAGCCACATCCAGCCTGGCCTTGAATGCCTCCAGGGATGGGGCATCCATAACCTCCTTGGGCAACACATTTTCATTTCTTTAATTCTCTTAGCTTAAATATAAACTAAGCTAACTTTAAAATAACTTAAAATTCTACACAAATGAAGCTGAAAATAAAAATGGCACTTCATTTAATTCTTTAGAGGTTATGTAGCAGTTCTTTCATTTTCAGAAGCTTTCTGAAATATTAATGAAATAGGTTGGAACATTAATTGAATAAGCTGTATGCTTTTCAATACCTCCTTGAAAAATGTTAAATTAGTAGTGTTTTATTCATGTCATAAAGTAGACAGTGTGCAAACCCTTGTTTTTATTGCATTTAAGTGGTGCAGTTGGAGTAAAAATCCTGGCTTCTTTACCTTAGGATACAAAGTCGCTAGGGCATGCATGATGTGATGGCATTGCAGGAAGCTCCTCTCCTTGGGCTATGACTATCCAGGCTTTCAGTAGAAAGAATGTTTTAGTTATTTTCAGCATTTGCAGATATTGCTACTGAAATCTTCCTTCAGGCTCTCTAGCACAAACTTTTGCTGTTACACTAAGATTAGTTAACCTGGAGTGAGACTGACACCATTTTGGCAGTGTAGTTTGTAGGCCCTGTGGCTCAGCTGGAAGTTAGTGTTGTTGGGATAGCTGTGTAGGATTCAGATACTTAGTAGCAACTATTAAGTCTTTGACAAGAAGGAATCAAGAGTTGAGGAGGATGTACCCTAAAACAAGTAACATTTCCTCAAAGTGCCCCATAGCATGTTGTCCTGGGTATTTGGAAGTGCACTGTAGTGTAGCTGCCTGTGGAAGAGTTTTTCATCTTGGACCTTTTTTCTGTGCTTTATCCATTAAATACAAAACTCATTCCTCAGTACATCATCATTGTAATAGAGTTGGAAAGTTCATTGTTTTCTCTTTGTTAAGTGAATGAGGGGGGTCTTTATTTTTGAGTTGGTAGCAAAATTTCTATGAAAGAAAAATACTAAATCATAATAAGCATATTTTCATATTGTGCCAGGATTTAGTTTATTTGCAGTCACTGGAATTTAAAAGAACATCTTTATTGGTTTGTTTAAAAAAAAAAAAAAAAAAAGAATCTGCCAGTATAAGCTTTTCTCTTCCTTTTAAATTGTAGGCTAATAAATCAGAACCCATCAGGCTCATGGCAGGTATTCCAGGTCAAATAATAATAATAATAATAATAATAATAATCTGTTTAAAATTGGATTCCTGACACTTAAGTTAAAGGAATGATAGATTAAAAAAATGACATCTTGGCTCTGGAGATTCCCAGGATTGTTTAAATGCACGCTTTCTCTAAACATTAGAAAGAAAATGAATAAATGTAGCTATTTTAGGAAAATGGGTTGGAACTTTCCCTCTCTCTTTCCTTCTCACCCCATGTGGAATGATTTTGGTTGTGTGGTATGTTTATTGCCTTCTTTTTTTTTGTAATTTTTTTTTTTCCCCCCTCAGAAATCTTTATCCCAAATTTGCATCACCTTGGGCATCATCACCTTGTCGACCTCAAGACATAGGTAAGAAAAAAATGGCTATTTAATTCAATATTAATGTATGAAAATGGTACTCATTTACAAGTCTTAATAGTTGCATCAATTCCGATTCTTTTTTAGACTTCCATGTTCCATCTGAATACTTAACTAACATTCACATTAGGGATAAGGTGAGTATGTGTGTGTATTTTTTGTTAGTTTATTACCAGTAATTTTCTAAATTTTCTTTCAAACAGATTTTTTTTTTTTCCAAATTCAATGCATTCAGTGGATGTTCTCAATCTTTTTAAGAGCAGTGATATGTTAACTGGCTGATCAGATATATCATGCACCCATTCCACCTTAGAAAAGGGTATGGAAAACAAACATGCATACAGGCATAGCTAGCTAACAAGAGCATTGTATTTTTACTAATATGCTCTTTATGCAAAGAGCATAAGAGCATGTTTAGTTTAATTCAGCATACTCTAATATTCAAATGCCATATTCAGTTGTTCTTTTTCTTGAGATTGGCTCAGAATTGTGATTCAAGATACTGTCGTATTTATCTCTTGCTTCCCATGTATACACGGACAGGAATTCTTGTTAAGTATATTTTCTTTCAAGTACTGTAGTTTCTTAAGAGGGACTGTTGAGAAATATGGCAAGAAATTGTGCTCATATTGCTTAATAGGGTGTGAAATAAGCAAATACATTCAAGCATTTAAAGAACTAAGAGGAGTAGGTGAGGATACACAAAGATGGGGGATAAAATTCTATCTTGCTGATTCTTTACTTCTGTTTATTTTCCTTCTGTGTCTTCGTGCTAGTTGGAAAGGTTAACAAAATGAAGAAAAATGATTGCTGTAATAATTATTGCTCCTGTTAGATTATAATTTACAATACACGTAAGATGGAAGCACATTCTGCATGTATCCTTCTGTTGTTTAAGTGAGATGTTATGTCTTAAAGCATTTATATATTGTAAATTTTTCATTCTCATTTTCTTCCATTTTTTGCAGCTGGCTGCAATAAAACTCGGCCGATATGGAGAAGATCTCCTGTTTTATCTCTATTACATGAATGGAGGAGATGTATTACAGCTATTAGCGGCAGTAGAGCTGTACGTTCAAACTACTTTGTCAGTCTTACATGATTTAATCTTTTGCAGTAATGAAGTAGTACATGTAATATTAAAAAAGAAAAAACAATGCTGGAAAGAGAAGCTTAGTCAGTCTAAAGCTGGAAAACTTTTTTGGAATACCTCCTCCAACGTTGGTTCCATTTTGCACTTTTTTCATTCATGTAGCAGAAATCAAATGCCTGTCTCATAAATTTTGCAGAGTTATAAAGCATTGTCAAAAAGAAGTATATGAATGCCATTAGTTATTAAACATTAGTCATAAAAAAGAATTTGTTGTTTGAATTTACCAGACTTCTTGAAGTTTTGTGTGTGATGAAATTAAGGTGTAATAATTATATGGAAGCGGTATGTGATAGCAACTGTAATGATGTCTCAGAAATATCTTTTTGATTTTGAATCGTTGTATAATTTTTATTTAAAATCTTAGAATTGTAGACTGTGATGTCAAATTAAAATAACTAATGCTAAAAATTGTTTTTCCTTCCTGTTGAAAATGGAAGATTTAACCGGGATTGGAGATACCACAAAGAAGAACGAGTATGGATCACCAGAGCACCCGGAATGGAGCCAACAATGAAAACCAATACATACGAGAGGGGAACATATTACTTCTTTGACTGTCTTAACTGGAGGAAAGTAGCTAAGGTATATATTTTCCCTTGTGAGGATATTTTAAGTCTATCAGCCATATGTTTTTAGAAGGACAAAATCCAAAGTCCATCCCAAAATCTCAGCTTTTAACGTCATATCATTCCAGTTCATTATCTCAGTTTCTGATGTGCCTGAGAACAGAGATTGCCTAAAAAAACCTGGTTTGTCTGTGGCAAAGGAGGAGCAGTTTCTCCATTTCCTGTTTTCTTTGGGAACTAAAAGGAGCTTCCTGCTTGCATCACAAGTTTTATTAATATTGAAAGCTTTTCTTTCAAGTACAATGTTCTAGAATAAAAATAACTATTTGTCATTTTAAAAATTCTGCATGCAAATATTATTATTTTCCTTTAGAAAGTCGAGTAGGGAGTTACCACATCAATCTTTAGATTTAGAACAGGTGGTTAGGGTGGGAGGAGTTGGCTTGGGTTGGTTTCTTTTTGTTGTTGTTGTTTTCTAATTATTGTCTTATTGAGCATAATGTAGGAGTTCAGTGCTCTGTTGTTTGAATGTTTGAGTACTTCAAAATAGATTGCTTCTCTTAGGGAGGAGATATTTTCATGATTGTTTTCTGTATTCTAGGCCAAGAGGCATTAAAAAAAAAAAACACAAAAAGAACAACGGTCTTCTCCCTTTCCACTTGTGATAATTTGTTCCCTTCTGTTTTGAATACTGTCAATACTGGTCATCCTTTATTTGCAATTTGTGGAATTGTTCTTCTTTTTCTCCACCCTCTTTTCAAAGTATTTTCAAAATACTTTTCAATATTTTAGTGTCTTTCAGCTTTAAAACCATTTTGTACAGTGTATTTTCCTTGATTATGATTATGATTTCTTCACCCCATGAAAGCAAATGCTTTCTAATGCAAAGTGCAAAAACATTTGAATGATCATCAGTGTTGTCATTCACTAACCTGAAAAAAGGGATATGTTCATCTGACAGTAGCCTGCCGTGTAAAGGAATGCATTCAGCTCTAGTTTGAGCTGGAAAAGATATGTGTGCAGTATGCATGCAACCATCACACCTAGCCAGAGTCTGAGTTGAATAATTTTCAAAAAAAATCACAGTCCCCATTTAATTTTACTTCATAGAATCATAGAATGGCCTGGGTTGAAAAGGACCTCAAAGATCATCTAGTTTCAACCCCCTTGCTATGTGCGGGGTCGCCAACCACTAGACCAGGCTGCCCAGAGCCACATCCAGCCTGGCCTTGAATGCCTCCAGGGATGGGGCATCCACAACCTCTCTGGGCAACCTGTTCCAGTGTGTCACCACCCTCTGGATGAAAAACTTCCTCCTAATATCTAACCTAAACCTCCCCTGTCTTAGTTTAAAACCATTTCCCCTTGTTCTGTCACTATCCACACACGTAAACAGCCATTCCCCCTCCTATTTATATGCTCCCTTCAAATACTGGAAGGCCACAATGAGGTCTCCCTGGAACCTTCTCTTCTCCAAGCCAAACAATCCCAGTTCCCTCAACCTTTCCTCATAGGAGAGGTGTTCCAGCCCTGTGATCATCTTAGTGGCCCTCCTCTGGACGTGCTGTAAGAGCTCCACATCCTTCCTGCACTGGGGGCCCCAGGCCTGGACCTCCAGATGGGGCCTCACAAGAGCTGAGTACAGGGGGGACAATCACCTCCCTCTCCCTGCTGGCCACTCTTTTAATGTAGCTCAGAACATGGTTGGCCTTTCAGGCCGCAAGCACTCATTGCCGGCTCATGTCCAGCTTCTCGTCCACCAGGACTCCCAAGTCCTTCTCTGCAGGGTTGCTCTAAAAGAGTTCTTCCCCCAGTCTGTATGAACAATTGGGATTGCCCTGGCCCAAGTACAACAGCTTGCACTTCGCCTTGTTGACCCTCATTAGGTTCACATGGGCCCACTTCTCCAGCCTATCCAGGTCCCTCTGGATGGCTTCCCTTCCCTCCAGCGTATCGACTGCAACACTCAGCTTGGTGTCATTCGCAAACTTGCTGAGGTTGCACTCGATGCCATCTTCTGTGTCATTGATAAAGGTGTTGAAGAGCACTGGTCCCAAGACCGACCCTTAGGAAACACTACTTGTGACCAGCCTCTACCCTGACACAGAACCATTGATTACAAGCCTTTGGCTGTGACCAGTCAACCTGTTCTAGTTACATGGAATTGTATAGCAGTGGCATGATTTTTCCTTCAAGTTTTAACCAGCATGGCAGTTTCATTCATGATAAAAGAAACTTAGAACATGTACTGTACCTACAGAACGTCTGACCATACTCCTGTGTTTTGTTTTGTTTTCTGGAAATCACATGGCAGATCAGACTAAATCTTGAGATGTTGAACAAGATTCCTATATGTTGGAACTGTGCATGTTCTACCTGTTTAGATATTTCATTTAATTGGAAAGCCAAAATTCTGAATTGCTTGCACAGAAGGCATTTCATTTCTGTGATCAAGCTGCATCTACATACTTTTAAGATAATATAAGTATGCCATTGAACAGTTATGTGTTGGTTGATGTGTTTTCAAACATCAGCTCTAAATTAAAGGGATTAGAATTCAGTGTTCTAGTTCATCTAAAGATTAACTAGACATGGGGGTTTTTTTTCATCTCCAATGATGTGTGGCACTCATCAGTCCATTTGCACATTTGACTCATTGGTTTTACTGCTTTTCCAATGGTCATAACAAAGCTAAAACTTCCTAATGGAAGATTTTAATAGCAAGCTGTGCTTGTGCAATTAATATATAATATATAAAATGCATATATACAGGGTGATTCCAAGACCTCTAAGCAAAAACATCTCTCCCCTCAGAACCTAAACAAAAAATTTTATTTCTGTTTAAGTTACTGATTTGTTGTTTGGTATTGCTTGTTAGGTATCCCAAGGCACTGTTTAAGGTTATTTTATTACTTAAGGTCTTCATTGTAGACCTTAAGTCTACTTAAGAGTAATTACTTTTTGAAAGGACAGATTTCTTCTTTGGAGTCAACTTAATATTTTCTATTTGTTAATGAACAATAAAAGTCTAATGTAGGTATCCATATCAGTGGATTAGATTGAAATTTTACTGTACTTGGAAATAAAAAGTTATTTTACTAGAAGGAAGTGATGTCCGTTGTATAAGGATAGTAACATCCTTAGTGTCTCCCATTTTTCTACCTGTAGTGAATGTATCGAGCTACTACTTGATGCTTAAGCACTACTTTTGAAGACAGTATTTTCTCTACTGGGAGTTGTAAGTACTGTCCTGAAATTCAGCATCTAGTGCTTGAGTTGTTTGTTTGCCCTTTTGTCCTTCCTCTGTTAAAGAGAAGAGCTGGCTTTGTATAAGTGGGCATTCATGGCTGTATGGGTGAAACAGAGACACACAAAATGAATTCTCCAAATGATTTTGCCCAGGATCTATACAGATTCTTTTGCATTCTGTATTTTTAATTTTGGTTTTAGTTTGGTGCGAAGGGCACCAGGCAGGTTAAGTATTTATTGATCACAGCCTTCTGTGAAGGGTTTGAGGAAAAATTGGTATGATGTTACATGAAGAAGGAATCACTTGCTGGAAACCCTTCTGCAAGAGTTCCATCTATGATCAGTAAATAAGAATTTCTATAAATATGTGAAGTGTGGTCTTGGCACTGTATGGTAATGGTGTTACCACTAATAATTTCTGGAGTAGACTTTTCCTATGAGGAGTAAAACAAAAACGGCAGTATGTGATGACCTCTAAACTGAAGGAAAATACAGCCAAGTAACTTTTTCTATCAATCACAGAGGTGTTAATCAATGGTTCAGGAAATTAAAAATATAACAATCTGGGGGAAAAAAGAGTTCTGATAAATAACAATCTCTTAGTGTAACAGCTGCATTACTAGTGAGTACTGGGAATACAGTTCCTTAGAAGGCCATAATAGTAATTGCTGCTTAATGGCTTCATTAGTGCTCTTTTGAAGCAGTCAAACAAGAATTATTTCTGGTAAATTACTCTCTTATTTATATATGCAAATTAAATTATTTTTTCAAGGTACTTTATAAACTTGTCTGTTGTTTTAGTGTATATGCTCAAATAGATGGCGGCACGTATTTTAATGTGTTGTGCCTTGAGGAAGTTGCATTATGCAATTATCAGCTTGTGTATTTATTCTACCTACAAATTAATAACTCAGTTATTAAAAGTTATATTGAATTACAATTGATACAGTGAAATGTAACTGTTTACTTTGAATAACGTTATAAAGTCTTACAGCTAAGTTTATAATAACAAACAAGGATTGGGAGATTTTTTTGATAGTATCCTAGATTTTTTTTGTTTTTACACATTTTTGGTAAAGCAGACTACATACTTCAATGAAAACATTTTTTTCTTTCTTTTTTTAAATTAAAAAATAGGCTGTGTATTCTATTCCTAATGTTCTATTTCCTAAAAGAAGGAAATGTAAAAAAAAAAAAAAAAAAAAAAAAAAAAAAAAAGCCGAGTCTCTTAAACAAAATAATAGATAGTTCCTCATCTATTAAGATTTTATTAATTCCATACTGATAGGTTTAAATATTGAGAAAATGTTAACAACAGTAAATTACAAATTACCTTAAATGCCAAACAGAACACAGGAAGATGCTGACTACAGATATGTCTCCTTATATGGTTTTTCATCCTAGGGCATGTAGAAAGTACAGTATGGTTAAAGGCACTTTGATTTTTCACTGAGGATTTGGCTTTATAGTGTGCTGCTGTTGAGGAGACGTGAAAGAGAGAGGAAGGGAAGTGGATGTGAGACCAAAAATGCCTTCTACAATTGCATGTTTACTGAAATCCTGATTTTAAATTGTTTGAAGAAAACTGGAATTTCTCCTTTGAAAAGTAAGGAGAATTAATCCCATTTAAGGAGAGGAAAAAATAACATAACCTGTATACTTTGATTTTGTATCTATAAAATGTGGAATTCTTTCTGGAGAAAGGTTAAATTTCCAAGTGTTTACTTGCTCGTAAGATTTGCTGCCTGTATATTAAATGACTTTCTAGTAATTATAGAAGTATTAATATTGATCTTAAAATGGTAGAATGTTCAATTTGTTCTTCTAACAGAGATGTACCGTAGCATTTGGATTCAGGCCCAATCTTAAACTTGGGCCTTTGTACCCATCTTTAAGCCAGCATAAATACTGCCTTTTTGGTCCCGCTTGGATTTTCTCTGCTATCCTTTGATGGGACTACACAGCCCAGAATAATTTGTGCTCTGGGCAATTCTTATTCAGCTAACTTTGCTTTGGCTTAGTCTATTAATGCCATGGATCACCTGAAACAATTCTTTCTCTAGTATTTTTACGTATTATTGTTTCTATGCGTGCAGGCTGATGTAAATTTGCCACCAGAACAAGAAGGAACTGATTTAATTGCATAGAAAATGTATGTAGTGTTGCACATGTGCCCTAAGCTTCCACACACAGTTAGTACTCATTTTCCTTGGTTATTAAAAGATATTTAATTTTTAATAATTATTCCATATAAGAAGTAAAGCGATATAACGAGTGTTTGTCAATGGATAAGTGGCACTTTCACACTTTATTTGTATCTGTTTATATTAAAAAATATCAGTGATGCTGTTCACATCCTAAACCATAGTGGCCCGTGGAATCAAAAGAAAAGACTTAAAGTGTAAAAACATGTAATACAAGTATTTTTCTACATACAATAAATAATTGCCTTTTAGTTTTCAACAAATTTTCGTCAATGAGTTCTTTTTTGGTATTGTCAGATATAACTGAAGTATTATTAAACACTGCTGGATATTGGGCTTCAGCATCGCTGACATTGGAAGTCAAAAAGGCTCTTTTAAGCCTTTTTGTTTTAAAATCACTAACAGTCTGAAGCATCAATTTATATGCTCCTAAAGCAACTTTGGTAGGAAGTCGTGTTCCTCCTTCTAAACGAAGGGTTTCCAGTTTGTGGCCCACAAAGCACTGCTCAAGGTGCCAAAATCTTCCTTTAGACAGTACCAGCAGTAGCACACAGCCACAGTAAGTTTGGAAACCCCATTTGTGGGTAATAGATTCCATCGTAATGGCTTAAGTAGCTGTTTTCCATGTGTAATTTCAAGGGCATTTCAGAGCATGTGAAGGTTCAG